TTATCTCTTAGTTCTTACTATTGTCATGATTCTAACAATTTCATTTTACTTTATATTTATTTATTTTTTTTTTATAATTTTTTTTTTACCATCACTACTTATGTTTCTCATACCTTATTATCTGGTTATTTTCTTAGCCCTGATGAAGACCTGAACTTCAGGTCGAAACGTCGGCATATGTAAAAATAAATATTATCATTTATTTTTGCCTTCTTTTTTGACTGACCACCCCAACTATTCTTCTCTTCAATTTCAAACTTAGTGTTCGAAATAAATTAAAAAATCTGGTGTGTCCACTCACACGACTTTCCTACCTATTTTAGAAAAGTATTTATATCTTTACATATGTCCATGAAGAAACAGAAACAAATTGAATTAGATTCATCTTTCTGAAAATTGATCAAAGAAAAGTTTTGAGTACGATTTATTTGATAAACTAAAGCAATGTAAACCGGGTTGTGGAAGATCAGTGTACAGATTTCAATACCCTTTGATATTGTTAATCAAAAACTTTTTGCCATAGTCTAATTTTGTCAAACAATAATTTCTATTAAAATTGCGGAAATAGTGAAGCTTGTGGGATGAGGACAACAGATTTTCTCACTTACTTATCTTTTTTCTCTCATTCACCCCTTTCTGACACCAGGATATTAACCCGTAATCTTACATTGGAAATTGAATAGCTATAACTTCGTTAATAGTTGAGAAATGAACGATTTTTATATAGTTTTGTAGTGAATTTCATTATTTTTCAACGTATAGGTCCTTTGAAAACCGCATGTCGGAAATTTGATTCGATTGCAATACTTTCCTTACCTAGTATAGGTAGGAAAGTAATAAATTAAAACATGTGTAGAAACTAGAATAAGTTGTATTATCGCTAATATTGGTTCGAATCCGATGATGTTTTATTTCTTTTGTTGGTAATTTAATTACCCTTCAAAAGTTTAATTATAAATTTTACTATAGAATATATACTTATAGTTAGGCCCCAAAACATTTTTCTTTTCTTTATAACTTTTTTCCTGATTTTTTTCGAGAATTTAATCCATTTACCAAAATTCAAAGGACATTTATTAGAACATTATAGGAAAGTTTCATCAAAATCGTTAGATTGTTTGTGCTACAGTCTGTAGAAAAACATGTTTTTAATTTATTGCGCATGGAGCACCAAATTTCTGTTACAGCCATCAGTAGTCAAAACCCTACAAAATAAAAAAAGAAGCAACAAAATCTGTTCACTAGTTCCCGAGAAAATCTTGGCACAGAGAGACAGACAGATAATGGCTGAAATGTGTTTTTCTAACACATTCCTTACCCTTAGGGAAACTATTCCCTTTAAAACGCCGGTTAAAAATTATTTTACTTGATCGTATATGACAGTAATTTGTTATAAATTATTTTCATAACAAACTTCTTGGTAACTTGAGGAAACTAATATATTTTAATTTTTCAGGTTTTGTAGGTCAAATTTTCCAGTTAATATGACTTGGATCAATGCAAAAAATAATAAATGAATAATAAGATGCCACGGATGTATGAAATGGGGAGGGGTCAATGAAATCAATGAAATGAAAATCTATGTTCGATTTTTTATATAATAATGTTCCTAACCAGTAATAAATACAATGTTTTATTTTTTGCTTTTTGTAATGTGACTTTATATTTCTTAAGAAAACACAAAACAATATATATAAATAAATATATATATATATATATATATATATATATATATATATATATATATATATATATACAGATAAACATGTGTGTTAAAAATTAAAATATAAATAAATTAGTTTTTAGATATATTTTTTGTATTACACCCTGAATACTAAAAAAATATTTTATTTTTGAAGTGAAAACTTACCACTTATTTGTGGGTACTGAATGAGAGCTTTCAAGATCGGCTATGTAACGCTCGTTCGAATAAAGTCGGCTGTAGACTAATTTTCGCATTTGAATTAAAATATTTCAGAAAATAAAAATAAGAATCAAAAATTTATTTTGACGCGACGCCGTGTTTGAGAGACAAAAATGAAAAATAGTGACAACAACCAAATGATTACGAGTTTTTTTTTTAACTTTTGGATTAAAATTAAGTAAAACTCGGGCCTGTATAGAGTATAACCAAGGGAAAATTTCAGCATTTCTTCCTCTTTGAAATGAGCTATAATTTAAAGTTGTATTTTGACGTGACGCCAAGGTAAAGAGTAAGTAAGAGAAAAAGAGCAAAGAAAAAAAAAATGTCTGTTTTGAAAGTTTTGACTAAAATATATTAAAATTTAAATATCATGGATAATTCAGAAACCAATTTGCACAAGTAAATATAGACATTGTTTTAATTAGCCGTACAAATAAGAAATTAATTTTTTGAATAATAATAAGAAATTACTATGTTATCATCGAAATTAATTTCTATTAGAATTTCTGTTGCACGCGATAGTGATTCGAAAAATTACTGACCCCCTAACAAAACTTTTATTAAAAAAAAGTACCAATACTGCATATATTTTAAATATTACTACTTTGTGAATATAGAACAAAAATATATATATATATATATTTCATGTTATTAATTCCGCTTTGTTGGTTTTATCACTTCTACGTGTGGTATTAAGCACGTTTTATTTTGTTGTCAACTGGCTGAAAAAGCAACAACTTTCTTTCATGGATTCAAAATCATCTTCTGAGTGCCTACGTTCCTACCAACTTTACAGGTTTTCATTAGGGCTATCAAGAGAAGTCGAAGGATGATTGATGTATACTTATGGTTCAGTTGACCGCTCTCACGGCCTACTTATTAATTAAAAGATGTAAATAAAGTAACATACGAATTTGGAATAAGCTACTTAGATATTTAGTAGAAGTAAGTTATTTTGGATAAAATTATAAATTCCATCTTTATTAAACGTTTTTAAAGAATATAGGATATCATTTAATGTTAGTACAATCATTAATCATTCATTTCAAGGACGAGATTCATAAAAATAAATAAAGTATTTGATAGTATTATTGTATCATTTTATTACAAGATATGGAGAACTATTGCTGACACTACAATGCATAATATCCTACCTATAAATTATTTAGTATGACTAGTTCTAGATAACATGACTAACCATTGTTTGTTTACTTCTCTATATATTCAGTGTTTTACCCATTTCATGACTCATCGATATTCTTTAACAAATACGAATCGGGAAGGATTAAAATTTGTATGCTAGAATTTATGACGTCATAGTTTAAAGTATGGTGCACGTTCACTTACCACTCTACTTTGAGCAGAAGCTGTTTTTGTGCAAAATAATAAAGAATTTGAAGTGCATTTATAATGGAGCTAGATCTTTGTAAATTTCGGTCATATTATTCAATGTAAAAACTCATTAAGATCGTAAAAATAGCACAAACCCACAAGGCTTATGTAGCTTTCATCTGGGGGCAAGATGACATTTTTTTTTTTGGGAACGTTAATTATTATTACAATTAATAATAAATATTTTTATATCAAATAAAATATACACATAGAACAGCAAAATTTAAAAATGAATTTGCTCGAATTTTTGGTAAACCTTTTGTATTATATTATGTTTTATTTTATTTCAATTTTTTTAGGAGGGGCAACATCTCGCTGTCCTTCCTTGCATAAGCCTATGCAAACCCTATTATATCTCAAAATTAGAAACAATAACATAAGTTCACAATGAAACCGTCTTTGTTACATCAACAGTAGGCAATAAAAATCTGGTAATTCCATCTCTCTCTAAAATTTCCACATACAGATTCTCTCTCTCTCTCACTCTCTCTCACTCTCTCTCTCTCTCTCTCTCACACACACACACACAAAACCAGACTGGTGTGCCCAGGTTGGGTGTGCCCCAGGAGGGCTCCTAATCCTAGGTTCTCCTCACGAATGATGAAACAGTATAAGTACATTTTTCTGCCATGATTTGGAATTGGAACCTAAGACTTGTGCATTGAACGATTATCACTGAGCTACCCCCCCTCCAAATTACTTTATATATATATATATATATATATATATATATGTAGGAGTAAGGGGATATTTATTATGACCGAAATTTTTAATTTTTATATTTAAAAATCATTACTACTTATTTACGAATAACTTTTCCGATAAGTAAATACAAGTATGGTATCATCAAATTAAAGAAAATACAAGAAACCATTAGCGGATTGAAGAGTTAATTTGAGAGAGAAGAGTTTTTGTTATATTTTTTACTTTCACATACCGAAATAAGAAATAAATAGTAAGGGAAAGTATTAGTAAAGTTAGAAAAGCCTTCCGAACGCAAGCCCTTATATTACTTAATATTTAATTCTACAGATTACGGTAAAATAAAAATAAAAGTTGTTTATGTGCCAGTGCTTAAACAAATAAAAGCACCCTTTTTATTGAGAAATAATACATTTTGGCACACTTAAGAGCACTGAGTACTAGAGCTGAGTGAGACACATTTATACCATATATACAATACAATAAAAGTATATATCTATATATCAAAGGCAAAAAACTGTAATAAAACCAAAGAAATGTAACATGAAGTTAAAATTAAATTGAATACAGAAATTCATTACAAAAATAAATAAATTATAAATGAAATAAATAAATAGATAAATAAAAAACAATAATATTTAATTAAAAAATACTTTTTAGGCTTTAAATATTTATGTGGCGAGGTAACGCGTGTTTACAAGATTCAAGAGTAATTACCGAATAAAAAAAAATAAAAAAAATGGCCCATCCAAAATCAAATCCAGGGCCCGCCACTGGCTGAGATAATTGAAAGAAAAAAAAATGGAACAATAAATTTTTTTTTTGTTTTATGCATTTCTTCCACAATGCTCCCTTCTCCGTGTCAGTACAAGTACATCTATTACACATATGTATATATATAATCTACTATTATATGCAACTGTTGAATTAATATTTTTGTAAACAATTATTAAAAACATTAGTATTGTTCGTACAGAGCTATCTAGCGAGAGAAGGGAGGAGACTTCTGAGAATAGAACATGACAGAGATATATATAGTGGGGGCCCTGCGCTGCATTGGACACAGTCTGCAACATGAAGCTATACCTCGTACTCTTCTTGGTCGTCCTCGTCCTGGCTTGCTATGTGATGGCCCTCCAAGAGCCGTCCTGCATCCAGAGGGGGAAGGAGGTGAGTCTTGAGTCTTACTAATGGTTTTTTTTCCAACTTCCACACTGAGCAGACATTTAAAAACGATTTAAGAAAAACAATTATACAATCTGCTTACTAAGTAAACGATATAGTTAGAAACTAGATAGAAGTTTCAGTGGGTCATTTTATATAGTATTTCTTCCACAAATTCAACAATTTTCAATATAAATTAAAATCTTTTTCAAATCGAATTCAACCTTTTCTATTTAAAATTCAACTTTGAATTCTAGCTACTGTCGCCTATAACAGTTACGCAAAGCTACTGAAGAAGACTCATCACCACTAGCAGATCCAGGGTTTAATTTTCGGGGGGCTTCAGACCGAAAGATTTTTTTTTCAAATATATAACAATAATTAATTTAATAAAAAAAAGAGAAATTAATTAATTACCTATATGGAATGGTATTTAAGCGTTTTGAAGTCCTATTAAATGTAATTACACGAACAATAAGAGATAGTATTTAATATATTTTTCTGTAAAATATGATTATATTTTACCGTTTTGAAGAGGGGGCTTCAGCCCCAAAGCTTCCCTCCCCCCCTCCCGTAGATCCACCTGTGCTCATGACTTAAAAAGCCGAAGTCAACAGGCATCGGAAAAACAAATTTAAATTTAACCTATCGGTATTCTTCGATAAAAGGTCGATTATCTCCTATATCTATAACTTCCGAATATATTTATATCTATATATCTATATCTATATCTATAAATTCAAAATAAATGTGAACCAATGAATTTGAATTGGAAAAGCTATGACTTGTCTTTGAAAAACTTAAATACGGCTTGAATGTATTATAAATAGATTTTCTATAACTAAATAAATAATAATAAATTGTTAAATAGAATATTTATATTAAATAATAATTTTCTATTGGATTGGTTTTTTTTTTTATTTAAGCATTTAAGTAAAACACAATAAGTATATATACCTGTGTATGTATACCTTAACCACTACAACTCATGGGTTTAGGTACTTTAGTAGATAGAAACTGTTTCATGGGCAACGGTTGTGCAGGGAGGTGATCAGTCCAGGATCACGCTCAACCGTCATATACGAGTATGTATATATATATATATATATATTTTTATATATATATATATATATATATATTGCTTTATACAAAAATTTAACAATAATATCTTTTTAGTCTTAACATTCCGTTCTACTCTTATATAACACAGGGCTGATATGTTTTGTTATGTTATGTTATATGTTGCCTTATCTTGTTAAAATCCTTTGTAAAACCAAATATTGTTCCAGCCCTTCATACAATAATAACTAATGATTGGAAATATTGGAGGATTCAAAGAGATGAGGGATGGGAGGGGAGAGGAGGGAGCTTTAGGAATGAGGCCACTCAAAAATATGATTTTTTTTTTTGGTCTATATTTCTTTCTTTGAGCAATTTGAAATAAGTGCATAATCAAAAGATAACATAGTTTTTTTCTTTTTAAATTATAATGTACTTCAGGCACCAAATGTAAGCATGCTTCAAGTAAAAATATGACGTTTTATCCTTAAAAGCAATACCATTCATATATTTACCGTTTATTTGAGAGGATGTAAACTGATAATCTATTCCAGTAAGGCATGCTGTGTATATTTATTATGTGATAAGCATACCAAAACAACTGTATAACCTATATCTGTCTATATATTAATGAAACAAACAAACATTAATCGATGTTTTCTTTTAGATTTACTGTTATCTCATGAGGTCATATATAATAAATGTTAAAAAAGTTGTTTTTTTAACGTTAAAAAAAAATTGAGTTCATCTCGGCTATTTAAAATACCTTTGAAATACATTTTCTACCTTTTGTCTTTTCATAAAGTGAAAGGAAAATTTGTCACTTTCTAAAAAACAAATGAATATTATGATTTTTTAAATGTTTTCCTTTATTATTTACTTTTTTTCTAAGAAAAAGTGACAATTTTACCGTTAGAGCACAACAATATAGACAGTAAAGTCAAAATACTTTTAAAATAAGCGATTAATGTTGTCTGAATGGTTTTATAGCTTTGAACTTTCAGTGTTTCGCGTTTGTTTAGTAGCAAGCATTCTATATACGTACAATGCGATATTTTCTTAGCGATAATTTAGTAAATTATCAGTTAAACCTGTACCACTACAACCCATGAAGGGTCTGGGGTTCAGTACTATTTAGGGAAAGTACTGTTTCTAGGTCAGCGGTTGTGCAAGGAGGTGATTTGACCGAGATCACGCTCAACCGCCAGGTTTTCCCCCTTAATTAATTATTTAATTAAGGGTACCCACTTTGTAGAGGCTGGGTGTGCCCCAGGAGGGACTTCTGACCCAAGGTCGCCCCACGGCCAATGTAACAGATAAATAAATTTTCTGCCATGAGCCGGGGTTCGGGACCTTTGCATTGGAAGCTCAGTGCCCTACCACTGAGCTACCCCGCTCCCAAATTATCAGTTAAATTGTTATATTATATTGAAATAAAATATAATAATATCATTAATTTTGATCTGTTTAATATTAATACTTCCTAAACCATCTGTGAGCATATATATGTTTTTATCGTATAGATGTAAAAATATTTTTAATTTAAAATTTTATATAGTTTTACAAGATTTGTGAAGATGTATGAAAAACTAAGAAAAAAATCAAAATGAATTGTCTTTCTCCATATTAAATATTCTTTTAATATAGATTGATTTTTAACATTAGTACTGACACTAGAGAAAGATTTTAATTAAAAAATCTAGAACGAATATCAGAATAAAAGTGAAAAATATTTTTTTATTTAATGTAATCCGGATTGGATTTTTAAACTTACACAGTTATAGTAGTTATTAGAATTAAATAAATAATTAGGAAGAGTGTATTTTCAATTTAATTTTATTTAAATTATCTTCATGGCTGATAGAGATTGTACTATGACCGCGTATATCTCCACCGGAGGACATGTTTTCATGATAATCATAACGTGCCTCACAACTTTCAGCTAGTAAGAGTTTGTTTAAGCCAAAAAATGTATTAGCGATCCAGTGGTTACAGCAGAGGGAGAAAGCGTCTAGCGAACATATGGCGAAGGAAAGTACCTCTGTATATATATATATATACATAATTGGTAAATGGTTGACTGTCGTGGATAATAGGGTCGGCATATGTAAAAATAAATATTATCATTTTTTTTGCGTTCTTTATTGACTGGCCACCCCAACGATTCTTCTCTTCTTTATATATATATATATATATATATATATATATATATAATATATATATTTATATTTTCACTAAGGCTCGAAATCGGTTTTGTTGTTTTTCGGTTGAAGCAAATATAACCTTCTGTTTAGGTCACATATCATGAATGGAGTATCATTGGATTCAGAGTTTCATTGACGGTTAGCGAATCGGACTCTCCTTTTTTGTTTATCGATAATAAGCCGATATAAACATTTCGATAATGGGACGGTGGATAATGGACGTTGCATTATTTTATTTCTTTATTGTGTCATTTTTGCACTTACAAATATACCTTCTGTAATTACTGCCACAGGCCAACTTAATCACTATAAACTTAATTATCATTTTCGATATAACATTAGTATAAAACGTAATAGTTTATTTATATATTTTATGTGAAAAAAATAAATCTACTTTTACTAAATAATATTATCATCATTCACATGATCAAAAGATTATTCGCTAATGTTCAACTCGCTAATGACTCAACCAACGTTGGCATAGACGAAATAGTGTTGATTTGTATTTAATATTACAAAAAATTTGATTAAACAATATGACTGAAGATTTATTCCGGTTTTTCTAGAACCATTACAATTTATTAATATTTATCTACTATGTAAAAATAATTAAGTAACTTAATACAATTCGTTTCCCGACAATTAATATAGAGTATCTTAGAGATGGCAAGAATTCGACCTATGAAGGTTTATCTTGCATGATAGATAGCAAGTAAATCAGTGACAAATTCTTTTTATTATTTATCATTTAAGATAACATATTGAAAAAATGAATTGTTGAAATGAGTACATTTAGATAAGTGAAAATAAAATGAATAGAGATATGTCTAAGAAAATAGTTTCAACTAAGAAATCTGTAACCAACTGTTACCTTATCTTATTTCTTTAAAGTAATATCAGTTACTCTGGATGTGATGTACTTTGAGCTTTAAGAACAGCTCATATGTTGTGGCCGAAATTTTAGCTTGTAATAATGAAAAACTTATTTATAATCCAGATTGTTATTAGTGAATTTTATTGATCTATTATACAAATTATTGAAACCACATAAACATTCAAAGGTTGTATAAATAAATTTTATATTGTGGATGTGTAATATCTTACTTTAGGTAAAGCAAATTTCATTAAAAAAAAAAACAGCAGTTTTGGTATTAAAGTCTATAAGTTTTTGGTCGCCATTTTGAAACGAAGCGACGGGTAGTAATGTAAATTTCGGAGGATAATCTTAGAGTGACCTCTGATTTTGATACCGGATTTTTAAACAATCGGCCCTGCAGTTTCGGAGAAATGCCGCTGATGGCGTACGGATAACGTTTTTTTTTAATGAGATTTTCGTTCTATATATACATCAAGAAAATTAAACCTTAAATTTTGATAGGGAGTTAACTTTTTTTTTGGTCTATCAGAATGGTTTATTTTTGAAAATAATAAACCAAAAGAAAAAAGACTCATCATCTACAATTATTTTAATGAAAGAATTCTCCTTTTTTTTTAATCGCTGTGGCAGATCTACTTAATATCTATAGCTCAGATATATAAAATACAGACAACTGTACTCTGAACTATTACTGACGACACTAACGGATCCAGGGTTTAGTTTTGGAGGAAGTATTTCAGCCTGAAAGATTTTATTTTGTATGTATATATTAGGGTAATTACTTCGGAGGAAATAAAGAAACTAACTACCTATACGAAATAGGTTTAAATAATTCTTCAAGTCCAATTAAATGTATTAGACGAACAATAATACTTTCAGAGATAATTTTTTTCTTTAAACACGGTCATATATTACCATTTTTTTTTGGGGGGGAGGGAGGGTTCAGCCCGAAAGCCCTCTCCCTCTCCCCTGTAGATCCGCCTGTGACTGACGATGAGCAGGAGAAAAGTGGAGATGGGATTAGGTATGAATATCGCGGAAGAATGAAGAAGTGGTAACGGCCTTTAATAAATGAATAAAGTTTATCTGTCATCTCTACCTGACAGATATCAAGTACGAATCGCATGGCTTGGAAGCAAGGGCAGTTGTCTTTGGCTCATGACCGTGTCCTCAGGTCCAATGTTCCCAAGCCATTGTTGATGATCTGATTGGGACCAACGTGTTGGGCAATGTTGAATCAGAAAGCAGGTCATGAAGGTGCTAATTGTTGTTTTTGCGACCTTTACTTGAGTCAACAAAGTTCCGCTTCATTCAACAATTTAATACTGACATCTGATAATATGTTTAGAACAATAAATAATGTATCGTCATTTTTCATTCGATAAATGAATGAATAATATCGAAGTCATACTAAAGTAAATACATATACATTTAAATTTAAATATTAAATTTTCAAAGCGACAGAGATATAATCTATGCTTTATTATTATCATTATTACTATTAATAAATGAACTAAAAGTGTACAAATAATACACTTAAACCAAATGACGAAACGTAACTTTAATTTAGAGATATATCTCCTCAAAATTTAATTACTTATATTTTTTTATATTGTTGATTAAGACTTCAATTTCATTTCTAATAATAAAATATCTGGTGTGTCCACTCACACGACTTTCCTACCTATTTCAGAAAAGTTTTTATATCTTCCATATGTCCATGAACAAACAAAAAAGAATTGAACTAGATACATTTTCCTGAAAATTGATCAAACATAAGATTTGAGTACGATTTATTTGATAAACTAAAGCAATGTAAACTGGCTTGTGGAAGATCAGTGTACAGATTTCAATACCCTTTGATATTGCTGATCAAAAACTTTTTGCCATAGTCTAATTTCGTCAAACAATAATTTCTATTAAAAATAGCGGAAATAGTGAAGCTTATGGGATGAGAGTAACAGATTTTCTTACTTTCACTTATCTTTTTTATATCCTTTCTGTCACCAGGATATGAACCCGTAATCTTACATTGGAAATTGAATAGCTTTAGCTTAATTAATAGTTGTCCGAAATGAACGATTTTTATATAGTTTTGTAAGAAATTTCATTATCTTTGTTATAGATCCGTCGAAAACCGCATGTCGGAAATTTGACCCGATTGCAATACTTTCCTTACCTAGTACAGGGAGGAAAGTAAAAACATTTGATCTTTAGTCCTACTTTATTTTTTCTTTATACCCAACCTTATAGTGCTTCAAATAATTTTCGGGAGAAGGACCATTATTCAGTAAAGACAAATTTGGCGGAATTTACCTTGGTCAAATTATTTCATCTTATAAAAATCTAATTCCGCAAACCAGCTACTATTCAACTTACCAAGAGAGTGCTCCATGTTCAGTGGAGAAGCGATTGGAATAATAAAGGCCCTTTGTTGGATATCGAATTCCAAAGAAAAAAAATGGATCATAGCAACCGACTCCAAAAGCGTTGTGGCGGCCATTGGTAACCCATGGCCTGACAACTCTCTCATCAGAGAAATCATAAACGTATGGTGGGAGATGAGAAAAAAATCAGTAAGTGTGGTCTTTGTCTGGGTTCCATCCCTTAGTGGCATAATGGGTAATGAAAAAGCAGACCAAGCTGCTCATTTGGCGAGAAAGGGAGAGCTACCAAGCATAACAACAATAAATGACATCATCGTTGAAGATTGGATTCATGAAGCAAGAAAAAAGCTATTAAAAAATTGGGAAGGTCAATGGAAAATACAACCAGCCAAACTAGCCGAAATAAAAACCGAGTGCTACACATGGACCACACAAGCTTCAGAAGGTCGAGAAGAGAAGAAATAATATTGTGCCGGATGCGAATCGGACACTGCCTTTTCACATACGGATACCTACTTAGAGGTCTCGAAGCGCCGAGTGCCCCCAATATAAAAAAGAGAGACAAAAACTAAAGCTTTCGACAACATTGAAAGATATTTTGGGAGACAATGAGGAAAGTGTCGTCATTCTCTTTGAATATTTATTGGAAACAAATCACTATAGTAAAATATAAAAATTAAGAAAAACCGCCAATGACCCTCTAGGGTAGAGACGAATAAAAAAAAAAAATTCTAATTATATAAAATTATCTGACAACGGTAAATTAGACAAACGATTTTATTTTTATTATGTATCGTGGTTGTTTAATTATTTAGCTTCAGATCGAATGGTTGATTCACCAGTGATGCCAACCGAAAAGGCACTCAAGACATTCACTATGCTGTTGATAGTTGACAAGTAGTTTAGTTTAACCTAATCATTTCTAAATATGAACATTGATATATTGGTTGTAATAATTATATTAAAACAGAATTTATATAAATATTTATATAAACAGAAAATTTTATTAATACCGAAAAGTCTTTTAACTCTTGTCTGATAAATTATGAAACTTGAGTTTTAATTAGTTGGGATAAAAAACAGCAAAGAGGAAACCATTAGAAAATACCTGATGATACGCAGAAAGACTGCGACACACATGTAACAGGTAATGACCCGCAGGAGCAGTTCCTATTAATCCAATGCCGGTTCCAAACAGTGCCAAGGAGAGGTTGTGTGTGCTAATCGTTCCTACTACATCATTGCGAATTTCCAACTAATTACAGTCTCGTTTCTATTTGCAAATGGGCTTGGTTTTGCGAAAATTAGGACGATTTCAAATATTTAATTGTAACTTGTTTTCTGTTTAATTGAAATAAAATAATATGTAATTAAAAAAAATAGCCATAGTGCGATTTTACTAGTAAGGCGATTCTTCATCTATTATTTTATTGCAGCAATACTTAGTTTAAATCTGATTTATTTCTGTTATCATATCCTTTGAGTATATAACAAGTACCTATAATTATTAAAAAACATTTTTTTTTTGTAATTTCATTTCTTGATACTCACCTGTCATTTACAACTATCAATAATCACCTGATGGGCTGTTATATTCATAAGAAAAAAAATAAAGAAAATAATAGACGAAAAACGTAGTTCATAGTTCTGTTAAAAATATATATTAAGATAATAAACGAATTTTAATATAATAAAAATAATGAAAGAACAATGTAGTTTAACAGACACATGGACTTATTAAAACACAGATCTCTTCAATGATTTTTTAAAAATCTTTATTTCATAGAGTAAATGAACTCTTTAATACTGTTACTAATATCCTTAATTCTGACCGAATGTAATATAACTCAATAAAATAATAAAAATTATCATATCCGCACATGCCACTTAGCCTGCGAATATAAGCGGATGAAACGTAATGAAAAATTTTAAAAATTAGTTAATCCAAACTATGATAGATTTATTTTCCAACCGATGGGCAAGGTACCCACTTTATGTAGTTCGGCCCTAGGGGATTTAGACCTCTGATTCGATTCACGACATACGTTTTTTATCAAAAGCCAAATTGATCTTTCGAAGTCCTATTGATCATCCACATAATTACTCAGTTCCATAATTAATAAATATAGATAAAAATTCACACACTTAAATCAAAAATAATAATTTATATTATTATCTAATGCAATATTTTCGCTTGTTTCAGTGCGTAGGCCAAGAAACGCCATGCTGTAAGGGTTTGAGGTGTTCATTCTACGCCAACAGGTGCACGATCTAAAGACTGAAATAGATGAGAACAAGAAACTGCATATAAACTTCAACCCAAGTCAAAAAAATCTATGTCATGCCTATAATTGCCTATGATGATAGAATTATTTGTATTAGATTAGTTACCACTGCAGCAGTTACAAAGATTTATCTATTTGTGTAAATATAAGATTGTTTCGTTTTTGTATTTGGTCTATTTGTCCAACCTTTGTACCTTATCTGTAATCCTGTGGAGCTTTCCATGTTGTTATATTGGTTTGTTTTCATGTCGACCTGAAATTCTATTTATTTCTTTTCTTAGTATCTTATTATTTGTCAGCAAATAATGAAGTATTGCATGAGTACTTTTCTTTTTATTAGGGATATATGGAGGGATGTCATATAGAATGAACTACTCTATAATTATTTAGAATATTGTTAAAAAATTACTCCAAATAAATAACTCCAAACTTTATATGTTGAATAAAAATTAGTTAAATTATTGTATAAATGTTAATTTTAAGTTCTTTAAATAATTTAATTTACATCAATCTGGCAACAACATTCATGTATGTATATAAACATTTGGAAAACAGCTAAAAACGATAAATACAAATAAAATATATACCTGCTCAAGCTAATAAAATAAAATTATTTTTTGAATATTTTTCTAATCTGTGAATTATTGCCTAATTTAAATTATAAGGAGTAATATTCCTCCTAACATTATATTGTTATATTAAGGTATAAGTGACCTATATATAACAATATTCATTAATGAATATATATATAAACTTATTTCTAACTAGAAGAGCAAAATAGAATATAACGACATACAAAATGTATTTTATAAAATCAATTTTGAATAATGTTAAGATCAATATTATGTATCTGAAACCACAAAAAAAAAAAAAAAAAAAAAAATGAACAAGAATCATTAAACAAAAAGTGATTCACAAAAATATTTAATTTAGCAGTGTAACTAACACGCCATTAAATTAAAGAGGTGGTACGTATCGATAAAGGTATGAATCTGAGTTGAACCACAGGCGAATCTACGGGTGGAAGGAGAGGATTTTCGGCCTGAAGCCCCTCCCCTTAAAATGGTGAAATGTAACCATATTTTATGATAAAAAAAATTATCTCTTAAAGTATTATTGCTCGTGTAATTACTTAATTTAATAGGACTTTAAGACTCACTTAAACACCATTTCATATAGATAATAAGTATCTTTCTTTTTTTTCTAAAATAATATATATGAAAAAAAAAGCTTTCGTGCGGAAGCCCTTCCCAAAATTAAATCCTGGATCCGCAAGAGGGTGAAACAATATCAGTAGTGGGGTACGCTTATGATTTGGTACTGTTAAAAGAAGGCACGGAAACTATAAAACTAAATACAATAACGAAAACGAAAGCCGGTAACGAACTGGCACTTAATTTTTTTTTATATTTTATTTATATGATATTTATAACTGTATACAAAAAATTCATCTGGTAAATTCGCACATGGATATAATGACATGAAACACGTGTTTAGAAACTACCCATTGGTAGCACTCTAATAATATGTCTATATTAGAAGATCACGTGGCCATCTTCTTTTCAGACGCCTCGGAGGGTTATCAGGAATTGCATAGGAAGCAAGATTAGGAACAAGAGGGTTGGGATGGTTATGAAGTTTATTATGGAAGGACAGATATCTGGATTGGATCAAATCTGATACATAAGGAACATTAAGGTCATTATGGATGATTTTATTGGTAACAAAGTAAGGAGCATTGAGGATTTTACGAAGGATTTTGGATTGTAAGGATTGGATGCGAGAGGAATTTGAAGGTTTGGTGGAGCCCCATAGCTCAGGCACTTAAAATAAATTCAAAACATATTTTTAGCTATAAAAACGGTGACGATTTTGGTGATATGGAAATAGAAGGGAGTAAGCTTGAACATATCATATAGGGACGTTTTAAGTATTTAGGATCTTAGATAAGTAAAAAAAATGAAATCGAAAAGGAAGTTAAGGCTCGATTGAAGTCGGGAAATGCCTGTTATTTTCTATTGTAAAATTATTTAACTCGCGCCTCTTGTCACGAAACTTAGAAATTAGAATTTACATAACTATTTTAATACTATACGTAAAGAATTGGTATAACCAATATACTATTGCATTTAACGCTTCCAATTTTTTCATTCGGGCTTAGTTGGGTTTACCCTATCTGAAAAAATACAGGAATATCTCTACAATAATAAGCTAATAGGTAACTGCAAGACTCTTGCGTAAGACCAAGACCAAGACTAAGACTGAGTGTGCAAAACCAAGACTAAGACTGAGTGTGCAAAACCAAGACTCCTCTTGGCCTCGGATTTGGACAACAATATTCTTAATGGATATAAAACTTGGGCGCTTACGTTAAGAAATGAGCAACGTCTTAAGGTTTTTGAAAATCAATTATTGCGTTGAATATTCGGACTGAAGAAGGATGAGTCAACCGGTGAATATAAATGCCATTACTCCTAATTTAGTGAACTGCATCCGGGAAATTTTTTTTATTCTTTAACACTTCTTTGGAACGCACAGTTGGCTATCATTATTTGTCTTCTTTTGAAAGTTTCAGGTTTCTGTTTTTGATCAATATATGGATGCAGTCATATATATTATGTATGGTCTCATTTTATTTCTTGAATTAAGGTTTAGAATATCAGGGCTATTACTGATACAAAACTAGAAGAAGAAATGCCGATACAAAAAATAGCTGGATTGAAAGTTAAAATTTGGAAGTTAAGTTAGGAATATAAGAAGAATTCGAAAAGACTTTAAAAGAGCTGAGCCTTGGGTTCTCCGGTGGATAAGTTACGACGGTCCACCCTCCGGAAGGACGTTGGGAAGAACGCCGTCCCTCTTAATTCCTATTGACGATTGTAAATCGGGTTTACTTAGAGGAAGAGGAAATGGACAACTAGAAGGGGAGGGTCTCAGCCAGCCGGAAATGAATCGTTACCGAAGATCAAAGTTCGTACCATTTATTTGGTAATTATTTTTTGCTTAGAAAAAGATTCAACATAATTTGAAAATTCTCAATCTGTTTCTAGGCTACACAAATATCTGGTCTTATTTGATCACACATTATTCGTATTCCTTCACTGTCGGATTGGTTTGTTGATTTAAGTTTAGACAATCCGGCTGATTCCAAAGGTTTATATGAATCGGGCACGTCTTGAGGTAAAATGAGAAATAAAAACATAATAAACAGTAGAAATGCATTATTAAGTACACATTAGTATACACGTGCCAATTCGTCCTCAGATCCTTCTTACGACCCATTGGGCAAATATTACAAGTCTATGAACTTTGGTTACCTGTCCTGAATGATAGATAAAACACAAACGGTGACATATGGTGACACGGTTACACTCAGACAACCAATACTGGTATCAGTGACAAGTTGTTCCTGCTCCATAACTGAATCTTTTATCAAACTTCAGTTATATCCCCAACAATTATTATTTAACAGGGTGATGCATCGCTAAAATTTATTACAGAATAGCTGATACTTCTATGTTATTAGTAGATAATAGTTCAAATATGGAATATCCAGGTTCATTTTTAATATTATTAAATTATGGTATTTATTTTAAATAAAGAATAAGCTGTTTAATTTTCAACGGTTCAACAGATTCAACTTTACTTCTTCGTTCCTAAGTAGCCATATTTGTCCATCATAAATTCACCAGCGATTGGATCTATTTATACAGAACGGGAATGGTAGGGCAACTTGTTATCAGACTTAAGCATACCCACCACACGAATCCTTGATGACCTCCCACGCTGGGCAAGCAGAGCCGACTGGGTTCCAAGCAGCGGCGATCAATCTGTTTGGATGGAGTCCTAATTTGATTAAATATAATTTACAAAGAGGCTCCTATCCGCCTCAGGGCTGCGGGGACTTGGTCCAAATTGAGTTTGTGCGACAGTTTTAGGGGGGGAGGGGATGGGATGGGAAAATAGCCTGCCCCTCACTAATTTGTTGATGAATGGGAAACTTGAGTGAGTGGAGTGGCTTAGTTCCTGGCAACCGGCACAGATGGCATCCCACTCACAGATTTTCTCGTTCCTTTGCTTTTAACCAACTAAACAAAGAAGGCATTGAACTTTATAGTTTTAAAAATTATATAATTTTTAAGAACTAAAGTTGTCCATTTTTTAGTTCTAAGATTTGCGAAAAAAAATTCACATCTACATAATTTATTTAATAAAAACTGATAAATACAACAAAAGAAAAACATATAATAAAAATAAGAAATTTATCAATGTAGAAACTATTTAAACGTTCCGTTAAAAAGGAATACTTTTATAAAATTCAATGAAAAAAAACAATCATTTAGGAATCATTTTAGTCAATTCCTTCATTTTCTCCTAAACATTGGCGGAAAAAACGCTTTAAGAAGCATCAATAGAGCACCGAGTAATTAAAGTAGGTAACTGGACCTTTCAATTTCAAGTGATGATAGAGGATCTGATGATCGGATGATTTGAAAAATGATTTTGATACTTAATGTAATATCATTATATAATAAATATAAAACTAAAAAAATACATACAAATAAGTTCGAATTTATTTTTCTAATAATAATAAAGAAAAGTAGACCATTTATGCAACTTCTAATGAAAAAATATTGACTTCCGCTTTTATGTGTTGTAAACTACTTTTGACAAGTCAAGCTTAAGACGCTGAGTACTTCAGTAGATGTATGAGCATGTATATATACTTAATGGTAAATGCTTAATTGAAATATATATTCATAGTATTGGCGATTTTATAAAGGTGATAGATTAGTAAGGTAAGATGTAATATTATTTTTAGAATTAGCTAATAGTACAGTATTCTGGTTTTATGAGGAATAAAGTTGGATATATATATTTTTTATTATTTAAAATGAATATTAAAAAAATCCCATGTAAAACATCATTGACTAGAGGCGGCTTATAGAAACTTATTCGTAATT